AACTGTAGACAGCAGAGATAGTGTAATAAGAGAGTGGAATAGGGCAAAGGGTCAGACATGGGGTAAAAAACATATGTATATGAAAGTAGAAATGGAATATTATGGATGATAACATGCATTATTAAGCCACTATGCAGTTTATTCTAGATGGGAAACCACATTTTGTATGTTGTGATGATGCTCAGGGAATGAATGTAAATTAATAAAAAAAAAATTTTCAGAAGAAAAAAAAAGACATTAAAAATACCTATCTGATGACTGCAGTAAGCTATATAGCCCTAGGTAGGTGCTACTTTATAGTATGTTCATTCTATTCACTGAGGTTTATGCCTAAAGTTAGACTTGTGTTCAAGGTTATTTATATTTCAGCTGTGTTTGCTATTGAAAATATTTAGATTTATTAAGATATTTAGTGAAACAATAAAATGGGGGAGGCAGAGAAAGCAACAATAGATACCAGACACAATGTGGGAGGAGGGTGGGAGATGGCAGAGGGTGAGATAGGGAATCAAGGATGGGAAAAAAGGCAAAATATACAGAAAACAAGAAATGGAAAATTATGTGTTGACAATAACACATATGTTGATGTGCTTGATTGAGCCAATATACAGTGTACTGTGAATGGAAAAATCTCATTTTGTATGCTATAATGATGTACAGTGAATGGATGTAAATAAATAAATAAAAATAAATGATAAAAGAAAAATTAAAAAAAAAGAAAAGTCACGATGTATTTTCTTTGTTTTCCTATGCAAAAATGTGTCGGGACTTTTCTGATGACCCAATGGTATCTTTTATAATCCACAAACTATTAATGAAGATTAAAATAAGTAAACTAATGTTGAAAACATAAAACAGGAACACACACACACACACACACACACACACACTCATTTACCGATCTTGTCTTGGTAGGAGGTAAGTTTCCCAAGATCACTGTATTTGAACAGGACATACAAAGAGCAATATAAGGTCATCATATACTTATTTATCTATTTTTATATGAAGGAAGCTGCTCTAGGAGACCAAGAAAGATGACTAAGTGCCTTCTAGAAATGTAAAGAGGCATACATGTTGAAGTAGGTTTCTCTGACAAACACAAGTTACCCATCATTACCGTAGGGCAGCAGTTCTCAGTGCTGCATGTCCATAAAAACCCTCCTGGCAACTTGTTTAAAATGCGGATGCCTGAGTCCCAACCCAGAGAGGGAGCCACCTTCATAAACACTGCCACCTGCTGCGAGCTCGCCTCACCTGGTAGATGGCCATGGCGCAGTGCTCCTGCAGCTGTTCATTTTCACTATTCAGATTCTTCACTAGATTTTCAATGATTCTTTCTGATTTGATTGAAGCCCGATAGTTTTCCTGGGAACAAAAATATGTAAGTGTACACACAATGAATGAATATAACCACTTACATTAATAATCATGCTCAACACACTTTCTTAGTAAATAAACATGGAAGTCCGAGTTTAACAAATTTGTATAACAATAAGAGAATTGGGGCCAAATGATGGTGCAGCAGTAACGCAGGGGGACCTACATGGGCAAGCTTCTGGGTTCACATCCTGTGGATCTCCCTTAGCCAGGCATGTTTGTGCAGGCCTGTGTCTCAGGCTGTTTTGAGACTAGAGGCAAACTCTGGCCTCAAGTCCTTGTAGGGGTACCTGTCACTCTCACTCATTCACTCACTCACTCACTCACTCACTCACTCACTCTGTCTCTCTCTCTCTCATAGAAGAAATAAATTAGTAAACTTAAAAAAAAAAAAACAGAATAACAGTCGTGCATAGATAACAGTATTTGGGTCAATGACAGATTGCACACACAATGGAGTCCCATAAGGCATACAACAGAGTCCCATAGGCTATCCATGTAGCCTATGTGGGCAGTAGGCTGTTCTATCAAGCTTTGGAAGTGTACTCTGTTTTGAGTACATTGTGATGTTCACACAATGTTCAAATCACCTAAATCACATTTCTCAGAATGTATCCTCATTGTTAAGACACGACTTAGTCCACATTTAAAAAAATATATCACACAGGTACTAATTTAATGAATATACTGTTAGTTTTATCTCCTCTTTCTAAAAGAATGGTGACTCCCTAAAAAACAAATTCTCATTGGTCATGATAACTTTAATTATTTTTTGAATAAGAGAAAGTTGAGGCAATAAAGGCAAAGGAAGTAGAACTGGTGAGGGTACCTCAGATGCACATTCCTGCAGTGTCCCCACCACAGGAATCAGCATGTCTTCATGAGAAGTTTTCAGTAACCTGGCCAACAGTGGAAAGCCACCGGCCTTGCGGATGGCTTCTTTATTTGCATAACTCTTGCTACAACTCCACAGTGCCAATGCCCCACAGCGAGCCACTTCCACATCTCTGGTTTCATACAGACTGGATTGAGCAGGTTCTATTGAATTCTTTGCGCAGTCAAGTAGAGCAACCTATAAGAAGAGATAAATACAATGTCCATGAACATCTTTAAAATAAAAGTTAATGCATCCTCCAATATTACAGGGCTGCTACTAAGCTCACCATCAAAGCTAAGAATATTTAAAAAAATCAAATTCCATACTATACAATGATCAGTGAAGGCAAATAAACAAAACTCTTTATAACATCTCCCTCTACATGTGGGAATGTCTTCCTTTCCTTCTCATATAAAGGTTAATCCCACCAAGATAGTATTTTCTTAATATGACTCTAATATTTACATTAATAATATTTGTCAGCCACACCCCTAGCCCTGGTATCTCAGAAAGCCAAGCTACCAAAGACCATTAGAATTTTTTTAATGAGAACTGAAGGGTCTATACATTCTTAAAGCCATTAGACTTCTTTGGAGGGTTCAGCCTTCCACACTTACTACTGAAACTAACCAAACCAAACAGCACAGCTTCCAGCATCCTCTTTTTCCTTTGCAATAACTGAAGTCACTGAAGACCTTAAGAGAATTTACTTATAACAAGGATATGGTAGCACGTCAGGTTGCCCCATGAAGAGGTGAAGGCAGGCCTCCCCAGAACTGAGATTGGTACCATAGGAGAAAGCTGTCAGCCATTCTTGTGGACTCATTGTCTTTATTTCAGGATATAGGAGCTCTCATCTAAGCAATCTACTCCATTTTTCTACCTTTGCAAGCCAAACTCTTAACTAACCAGTTAGATACATGGGAGCCTATCTGACTAGCCATGACTACCAATCCCATACAAGAAGCGCATAGCCAAGACTGAGTAGAGTCTCTAAATCCCAATTCCAAATTCCTGGAAGAGAAATCTGGTGGGACCAACTTGAAACAGATAGCCTCTCATGTATCAAACTGGTTAGTCAAGAGATTCACATGGCATTCAGGCACCAGCTACAGGTGGGACAATAATGTAGGAAAGAAATGATAAGACAATGAGATTGAACAGAGCAGACAACCTAAAAGCACCTGTCTAGTATAGTAATTCCCTCATTACGTAAAGTCCAAACCCCTTAACTCACTTGAACTCAATGGATAAGGCCTTGCATAAGCACCATGGTCTTCCATCTTCAATTCTCACTACTCTGCCCACTTATTCTAGGTTTGGCAAGGGAAACGCAGCTTCTAAACTCACAATAGTGTTTCCCAGCTCTGGGTTCTTTACCAACATTGCTTTAACTTCCTGAAGCCTCTCCCTGGTGAGCACACCTAACAAAGACATGGTCACCTTCCTAACTCAGCAAGCAGTATTTCCTCTTTCTAGCCTTTCTTGACTCTAGTAGAGTCAACTAATCACCTCTCCTTTGTCCTTCCACTATTCCCAGTAGTGCTTCCAACTAAATACTTGAAACTCACATCACACTTAAAGCTTTAAGTATATCCTCCCTACCCCCACGTTCCCACTACTACTACAGGATGGCATCACAGCCACCAGGGACATACATTTATTCCTATTCCCACCACCTAGTTTGTACCTGATATACACAGTGCCACCCAGGAAATGCTTGTAATGCTTTTAGCTGAAAATGTAAGCATACCCTCTAAACAGAAACACATGTAGGCAAACATGTTCCTGACGGCATTCTCCTGGCTCCTGCAGCAGCTCCCTGCCTGAACACATCCGCCCAACTTCTCACACTCCATGCCCCCTAACCGGGTTCCTATCACGGTGCCTCTAAGAGACCTAACTCCATCTTGGGACCCAAACTTAGTGGCCAGTGCCTTTCCTGCCCGCCATGACCTTGACCGTAGTGCCCCTGCTCTGACGCCATCACCAGCCACTATTCTACTCCTGTACTGACTCATCTCCCTCACTTCTCGTTTAGGTTGGTAACTCTTGATTCTGTTACCTTTGTTACTCACCGAGCCCAGCAGCCCAAAATGAATCCCCAAAACTGATCCTTTCCAGAAGGGCTCTCAATCCAGCAATCACAAGCCTAAGGTTGGTCTATCCTTTATTGGTCTTTCCTGTTTCTAAAGCTATCATTTAAAATATGTGTCATTTGGGACCAGCAGTTGGCATAATGGCTATGTCATTGGACTCACATGTGGTTGACCACGGTTCGAATCCTGGACCCAACGGCTTAAACTCATGCTGGGCACATGTGCATGAGTGCCCACGATCCCGAGAGGAGAATGGAGGAGAAGGGACTGCAGCATGGCCATCCCCCCCCTGGGGGTGATTTCTTGCTTTCTGTCTCTCTCTGTCTCTCCCAGGTGATTTTGCAAGCACACGCACCCTATAGCAAAAACCTCTCCAAACATAAATAAATAAATAAATAAATAAATGTCATTCAGAAATGAATGACTTTGTGCTGATGATAACATGTATGACAACATCTTTAACTGGACTGGTGTATAGTGTATTTATGCTAGGAAAATTCATTTTACAAGCTGTGGCAATGTACAGCAATTGAATGTACAAAATATTTTTTAATGAAAGGGAAAAAAAAGTGTCATTATCTTGATCAGGTTAGTGCAATTATCTAATATGAACTTCCTGAACATGATGCATAAGAGTCCCATGAAAACATATTTTAGTTTTATGTTACTTTATTCATTCTTAAAATGTAAGGGGAAGAGTTTTGGTAGACAGTTGATACAGCTGACCCATCAGCTATTACGATTTCACTACTTACAATAATAATAGTCAGAGGCATAATTACACTTCTTTCAACATTTAACCTTGAAAATTTTCTCTTTTTTTTCGAGAGAGGATTTTTTTGCTATAGGGTGCGTACACTTGCCAAAGAGACAGAGAGACAGAAAGCAAGAAATCATACCTCCCCAGGGACCTAGTATGTCCACACCGCAATCCCTTCTCCTCCACTTTCCTCTCAGAATTTTGGGCATGCATGCACATGTGCCCAGCGTGAGCTTTAAGCTGCTGGAGCTGGGACTTGAATCATGGTTGATTATGTGGGAGTCCAGTAATGTAATCATGACACCATCTGCTGGCCTCTAATCTTGAAAATTTTCTAACACAGAAAAGATGAAACAATGACACAGCAATTGCATGGCAAATCCATTTGTCTACCACCTAGAGTCTATAAATAACATTCTGCCATGTTTGCTTTATTATGCATCTAACCATCTATGAATCATCTAATCAGTCATAAAGTCCATCTTATTTTAAAATTTTTTTATTTGATTATAAATTTTTTAAAATTATTTTTTAATTTGACCAGACAGAAAGAGAGAGAGAGAGAGAGTGAGAAAGCAAGCCACCAGGTCTGGGACTCAAACCACAGCCAGCCATGTGGGAGTCCAGCACCTCAACCACCTGCTGCCCCGTGCCCCCAAGTCCATCTTATTTTTAAAACAAATAATTACATTTCATAGTGCTCTACAGATAACAAGCAAAACCACAGAATCTTTCTTAAAATCCATTTTAACCCAATAGGTGCTTATTAACTCTTTACTTGTGTAAAGTACTAGGCTATGGAAGACACTAAGATGAATAAGACATGACACTCATGTTAAGGAACTGAAATGGAGTGGAGATGATCTGGCAAGTGTCTCTCCTGTGGGAGAGACAAGAGCTACTGCTCTTTAATGAGGATATAAACACATTTCTACACTGCATTTACTTCCTAAAAAGGCTTTCCTGACATGGCAAAGGTGGTGAGCAGAATACCAATTTTCTTTCTTTCGGTATTGAAGTCATCATTTTGGGGGATGATAAATGTAAGACTTTTGCATAGAAGACAAACTGGCCTGCGAAAATCTTACGTATATATTTTAATAGCTTTTTCCCATATTGGTAGGTAGATCTTTAAAAATTGAGATCACATGGTATTTCATATAACATTAAATATTTTATATTTATTCTTTGCTACTAAATATATTTTCAAAACACAATAGTAAATAGTGCTATGATGGACACAGATATGTGGAGATCTCTTTAACATGTTAATTTCTTTTCCTTTGGGTATGTACACACAGTAATGGGATTACTGGATCATAAGTAGTTCTAGTTTTCTTAGAAACCTCCATACTGTTTTCCATAATGGTTATCTTAATTTGCACTCCCACCAATAGTGGACAAAAGTTCCCCTTTCTACAGGACGTGGTGGATACCAGAAGACAGCGGAGAGGGAAGGATGAGGAAAACTTGGTAACAGATATAAGAATGCAGGTTGGGGTCAGCAGGTGGCATGGTGGTTAAGGCACTGGGCACCTGCACGGCCAGCAGCAGTTCTAGTCTTGAACCTGGCAGTTTGCTTTTCTTATTTGCAGGTAAATAGTTGAATACACTGTAAAATAGTATAGCACGTTCGAGTAAAAGTTGGTGGCAATTCATTAAACATTTTAAGAAAACAATAGTGGGACTAGCAGATGGTATAATGGTTATGTTGCTAGATTTCCACATGGTCAACTGCTATTCAAGACCCAGTGGCTTGAAATTCACACCAGGGGACCAGCACATGGCACAATAGTTATATTGCCAGACTCCCATGTAGTCGGCCATGGTTTGAGTCCTGGACCCAGGAGCTTAAAACTCATGCCAGGTATATGTGCCTGTGGGCCCAAAATCCCAAGAGGAGACTGAAGGAGAAGGGATTGTGGTATGGCTATGCCCCTGGGGGGTGATTTCTCACTTTCTGTCTCTCTGTCTCTCTGGAAAGCACATTCCTCCTATAGCAAAAATCTCTCTGCAAAAAAAAGAAGAGGAGGAGGAGGAGCAGAAGAAAACAGCTATAGCAGACTATACTGAATATACTGCAAATTATTTTACTGAGGGCCTACTATTAAGCACCTGCTCCATTCTGATCCTCAGCCTTGTAACAACGAGATGAGTACGTGCCTGCAGCTCTGACGATCTCCTTGGAAAGGCGCTCTCACAGTGAGATCACATCAGAGGCCATGTCTACCAGACTGTTTTCCCCTGCTTGGGTCTCAGCGGCTGTCACCAACCCCACACAGACACGAATGGAGCCCTATCCATGCCGCGAATGACAGTTACATCTACTTTTCAAATTTTCTCTGAAAAATGAGGTTGAACATTTTTTTTGGCCACTTGCTAATGTCAATATACAAAAATAATCCTTAGGGACATGTGATACAAAAAAGACTCCCAGAAGACCCAATGATGGCTGACTGCCTAGGAACGGCCAGGAAGGACAGCAGGGATCTGCCATGTTGGTGGCATCGTGTGTGGCTGACGATGTCAGCAGTACTCACCAGCTTGGTGATGCCCCCATGCTGTCTCACTGCCCGCCGGGCTCTTCTAAACTTGGCAACGTTTGCGATGGTCTCAGCGGCCAAACATTTCAGACTCTTGTGTGGAGAATCAAGTATATTAACCATAATTGGTAAGCCCCCAAGGTCAACAATACTACGTCTGATTTGAGGATTATGACTGATTTCCTTCAGAATTTTTAATGAACCAATCTACATGAGAAAAAAAAAGTTATAGGTGAATGAGCACTTAATACATACCCAGTGCTATGTTTTTAAAAGTTTCAAGTCTACCTCAGATCCTTCCCCAATTAAGTTTGTTAAGAAATAGTTTCCATTCCCAGAGCTTACACATATCCTCCGTATTTTCCTTCACTTATGTAAACAAACATTCAAGAAGCATAAGGTGGAGTTGGCAGGTGGCTTGGTGGTTAAGGGCACTGGACTCCCATGTGGCTGACTACGGTTCAAGTCCCAGACCTGGCAGCCTGATATCTCACTGTCCCTCTCTCTCTCTCTTTCACTCTGTCCTTCTCTGGTCGAATTTAAAAAGTAAATAAATGAAGTTAAATAAAATTAAATCTTAAAATTAAAAAAAATAAGGCATGAGGAACTAATGGAAAAGAATAAGAGATGGAAGACAAGCTGAGAAAAGAAAGTGGAAGCTAACAAAGGAAGCAGGTTGATTCTAACAATAAGCAGATGGGGGCCACCAGGTGGTATGGTGGCTAAAGGCACTGGACTCCCACATGGCCGACTATGGTTCACATCCCAGACCTGGTGGCTTGCTTTCTCACTTTCCCTCTCTTTCTGATCAAACTGGAAAATAATAATAGTAAAAAAATAAAGTTAAAATAAAAATAATGCTTAAAAAAAAAAAAAACAGTAAATGAGAATAAGAACCAGTCAGCAAGGAGTGGCAGACACTGAGAGAGAGGAAAGAGCCTGAGGGACTCCTCATCCCTTGGAAGCCACTCACCTTACATTTGACTTCATCTGTATCAAGCAGATTTATCAGAACTTCAAGGCCTCCAACATCCCTGATTGCCAACTGGCAGGTCTCTTGAGCTAAGTTGAAATCCCTCATTGAACACAATGCAATCACTGTAGCTGTCTGATTTCCTCCCTGCAAAGATGCAGCACCATAGAAAAGTTAAATAGAACCATGTTCCCATAGAAATGTACCCAGTGGTTATGAATCCATGAACTAGGAAAGGTGTCTCCAAGTGGGCTATAGTTTGTTAAATGAATTGTGTAGAGCTGAAGCATGGAAACACTGTACTGAGTTCATAAAATATTCTTCCAATTAAAGGTTCACATTAAAGGTGGTCTGTCTCCTTCAACAGCTACCACACCAGGCGGCGTTAGTATGTCAGAGAGATGGACTGAGGAGTGGGAGGTTTACAGAGAGCTGGTAGTTCCTCACTCGGTCCGAGTTCTTGAACAGCGTTACTGTGCAATGCAAAATGTGTCTGGAAGGTATTCTTCCAGATGGAGGTAGAACATTCTGGGATAGGGATGACCTGGAGAAAGGGAAACCACGAGGGAGGCATACAGCAATCCAAACTGGGAAAGAGAGAAGAGGGTAGTGAGGGCTTGGGTCTGGGAAAGAGGAGGGAGTCCCAGTAAGACCTAGGCACAGATTGGATGGGCGACAGGAAGAATACAAAGGAAGCTTCACTAATGTGAGCAGAACTCAGGCCAAGGGTAGGGAGGTCATGTGATTCATTGCCACGTGTAACGGGTTGTGGTGAGCTGCTCCTTTAAGACAAAAAAAAAAAAAAAAACAACTGAAAATTTTTAAGCAAATTTAATGCTGATTAGTGCCCAGACCTGCCAGGAAATTAAAATGAGAATTCATTGAAGGAATTCTTTTTTTCTTTTTTTTTCCCAAGGTTTTTTTTCAATAGTCTCCTTGGAGACAGTGAGAAAGAAAGTGAGAACTTACCCCCTCCCAGAGCTGGAGGGATAGCCCTGCCACAGGTCCTTCTCCTACATTCTCCTTCTGGGGTTTTGGGCATGCACATGCATCTGACATGAATTTTAAGTGGCCAGGTCCAGGACTTAAACCATCATGTGTGAATCCAGCACCTTAACCACCATGCCACCTGGAGGCCCCATTGCAGGAATCCTTAAGCAATGTCATGACCAGTGGACACTGAAAATCTTGAAAATCTTCTGAAGAACATGATCTCATGCATTTTATTTCTACTGCTACCAGTTAGTTAGTGAGCACTCCGACATAAACATGATAAAGTTCATAAGACACAAAAGTACTATTTCCATAGGAGCTAAGAATAAGTTATTTTTGCAAAAGCTGTTCACGAAAGCCAGCCTTGGATTCTGCCTCAAAACAAATACCAAATTTATGGGAACCAGCAGTTAGCGTAATGGCTATGTCTCTGGACTCCCACGTAGTCGACCGCGGTTCGCGTCCCAGACCCGGTGGCTTAAAACTCACGCTAGGAGCGTGTGCATACGTGCCCAAGATCCCGAGAGGAGAACGGAGGAGAAGGGATTGCGGTGTGACCATCCCCCCTGGGGGGTGATTTCTCGCTTTCTGTCTCTATGTCTCTCTCTGTCTGTCTGGCGAGCACACGCGCCCTATAGCGAAAAAATCTCTCCAAAGAAAAAAAGAAAACAAATACCAAATTTCACTCTCTTTAAAGGAAAGACAATTTCAGATTATGTTTATTTCTATTTGTTAATCATTATTTAATAGTCTCATTATATAGGACATATAATTAATAGTGTACATATATAAAACAGATAATATATATCTATTCTATTTTCATAGAGAAATTTATTTTATATGTAAATATATTTTACATTATGCTTACATATAAGTATAAAATTTTCAAATAAATTATGTTGTTATAACATATATAAATCAAAAATTTATACATGTATAAAACAGATAACATACAGAAGAGGCTTAGCACAGAAAATGGGAATTACATACAAGCCGCCTCACTCCCTCTTCCTTCATATCACACACATGCATATATGGTTATCTTTTTTTTTCCCTTTTTTAAAATTTTCTTTTTTTCTCATTTTTAAATTTATTTATTATTATCATAATCTTGTTTATATTACATTGAATCACATATAACTTTACGGTGTATTACATTTCTTTTCATATGCATATCCCTTTGAGAATTCAGCATGAGCATGACTTTAAAAATAAGGAACTGAAATGGGATTGCATAGAGCATGCGTGAAAAGTGCAGATGGGCCCACCAGCGAGGCTATGTGGGAGGGTGCTGCTGCACTGTGGCTGAGGCCACAGAGGAGGCCAGGTTTGGTTCCCAGCCCAACCTAAACTGGATGGGTACATGGCACAGGACTGTGGTCCTAGCTAACTGGAAGGCTGGGAGAATCGCGATAAGGTGAGACCCCATCAAAAATCTCTGTATTGGGACCAGCAGATGGCATAATGGTTACATTGCTGATTCCCAGGTAGCCGACTATGGTTTGAGTCCCGGAACCGGAGGCTTAAAATTCACACCAGGCACGTATACATGCATACCTGAGAGCCCAAGTGGAGAATGGAGTAGAAGGGATTGTGGTGTGGCCATCCCCCAAGAGGTGATTACTTTCTAACTCTGTCTCTTTGAAGAGCACACATGCCCTATAGCAAAAATTTCTTTAAAAACAAAAACAAAAACAAAAACTTCCTCAGCACAGCCCAGGTGGCATGGTCAAAGGCTTACTAGACTACAGTGCTAGAAGCCACATGGGTGGACACAGGTTCAGATCCCAGGGTAGCCTGAAAACACACCAGGAGTCCAAGCGCATGAGGAGCTGGAGGGTGAGGGAAAGGGGTTCGCGGCGTGCAGAGTGCCTGTCAAGAGTGCTCTCTCTGGCACACTCTCATGCACACTTGCACATGCATGGACACGCTTTCGCTCATTGAAACAAATCTTTCTCATTAAAAAAATTAAAAAGTAAGGCCAGCAAGTGGGGCCAGCAGGTGGTGCAGTGGTTAAGCTGCACTTCGACATGGCCAACTGTGGTTCAAGTTCTGGATCCACAGGCTTGAGAATCCTGCCGGGTGTGTGTGCATGTGTGCCCAAAATCCCAGAAGGACAATGGGGGAGAAGGGATGGTGGCATGGCCATTTCCCATAGGAGGGTGATTTCTCACTTTTCCTCTCACTGTCTCTATCTTTCTGGAGGGTACACATGCCTCATGGCAAAAATCTGAAGAAAAAAAAAAAAAACACTAGGGCCATCAGGTGGTAATGGTGGCTTAGGTGCTAGGTTCCACATGGCCTAGTGCATGGTTCGAGTTCTGGACCCGGCAGCTTGGAAAACACGCTGGGTACATGTGCATGCCCCAAATCCCAGGAGGACAGTGAGGAAAAGGGATTGTGGTGTGGTCATCATGGGCATGCTTTCTCACTTTCCTTCTCTCTCTGTTTCTCTCAGACAAGTGCATGTGCCCTATGGCAGAAATCTAAAACGAACAAACAAATAAAAATTTAAAAAGTAAAGATGTTCAGGCTTTCCTCTTGTCCTTTTAAGAAAATTCCCTCCACATCTCTAGAGATACTAGGAACAATTTACCTGTGGTCATGTCACTGTCAATTTCCATTTTCCATACCAATTCTCCCAACAGGTACTCCAGGCTGTCCCCTGTATTCGTGATTAAATTTAGATGACCATAGTCTTAAGTTTATTATTTACATTTAGAACAATAAGATATATCCTTACAGCTTTTAATATCTTTTCTTTCTTATTTCCAAGAGAAACATTACCACTAACTGTCCTATGTTTGATTGTAAAATATAAAATAATAAATCTTCAATTATTGTCAGGGTCATAAACTTCCTATGTGGGGGAACTGACACTTGGGATTCCTCTTTTCTGAAAACAAAAGGCAGGCATTTTGCAAACCACAAAGGAGAATCTATATACTCATCAGACTGAATAAAAGGAAATTAAATAATGCACAAAAAGGAAGAACAAAGAAAGTAAGAAAAACAATTCATTCTATCAAGAGTCTTTTTCTAGATTTAAATGGTTAAAAGAAGTCAGAAAGTTCCTCAGGTTGTTTTTGTTTTGTTTTGTTTTTTGAGAGGTTTTTTTGCCATAGAGCGTATGCACTTGCCAGACAGAGACAGACAGAAAGCGAGAAATCACTCCCCAGGGGGGATGGCCACACTACAATCCCTTCTCCTCCATTCTCCTCTCAGGATCTTGGGTATGTACGCACATGCGCCCAGCGTGAGTTTTAAGCCACCGGGTCCGGGACTTGAACTGCGGTCGACTACATGGGAGTTCAGTGACACAGCCATTATGCTAACTACTGGTCCCCCCAGGGGGTATTGAAGGAACAGAATTGGGATCCTATATTCAGAGTTTGAAAATCCAAACCAAGAGCTTCAGGTAGAGAAAGTCCATTAGGCAGAACTTCAGACCTAAGTATGACTAGAAGGCATAAGAAGACATTGAACAGGGTCTGGCCTCAGCCAGGCCGGGAGCCTCCTCCCAGCCTGTATCCAACTCCCTGAAGAAGAACATACCATCCTGACGTTGACAGTTGCGGTTGATCGAGGACTTTCAAGATGCTGTTCTTGTATTATACTCTCCTATTTTCTTTGGTAGCAATTTCCTGCTCATACACTCAGTGCAATCTTGGTTTCCAATTTCCAGCTGTCTTGATTCTTCTCTTCTAGACTATTTCTACCACTCGGGGTTTCTTTCATTATTTACACTTGACTAGAACCAAGCTTGAGCTCTATTTCATTAGAGCCAACAACATACATTTTTAAAAGCCACTTACTGGCATGAGATACTCAAAAGGTAAGAGTTGATATTTTTCTGAATTGTTTCTAGAAAAATTTTGAAGGGACTGACAAATTATACCCATCATGGGAAGTTAGATCTTTACAGAAAAAAAAAAAAAAATTCTGTAAATCATCGGCTTTTTCTGAAAGTCTGGAAACATATTCATAGGCTTCAGGGATTTTTTTAGAACAGTTTTATATTAGGGAAAGTTAGTTTTTCCACATTTCAGGATTTAGTTCTACTCTTGTCACTGACCACACTCCCAGAAGGATTATAAATCTTTCAGAATGAATACCAGAGGACAAGAGCCAAAATATTCAACATACAGAACCAC